TATACTCAGGGCAGCGGGAGGGAGTGGTGTGGGGGGATTGTATACCAATGAAGGAATTTTTCTTTTATTTTTAAAAGAGAAGATCGAACTGGGGGTAGTGGGGTGGGCAGGGAGAAAAGCGCATAAATGAATTAACGGAAATCCAAAATCTCTGTAAATGTTCATTAAAATTAGTTTTAAAAAAGGAAAAAAATCTGTTGTCAAGGACCTCTTCAATGTGCTAAAGAGCAAGGATGTTAGTTAAAAGACTACAGTGCAATGAGATAAGCCATGCTATTTTCAGTTGCTTCCTAAGTATCTGAATGCTTCACAATGGATAAAGATAACAGAAGAAGAACCAATGCAGCTGAACTGTTGTGTTGGCAAAAAATGCTGGACTTCCAAAAGAACAAACAAGTCTTCCACGGAGGAAGTGAAACCAAGATGTTCACATTAAAGACAAGAATGATAACGCTTTATCTCACATGCTTTGGTCATGTTGTCAGAAGAGGCCATTCCTTGGAAAAATATACTGTGCTGGGAAAGGTGTAGGGTCAGAGAAAGACAGGAAGGTTCTCTACATGATGGGTTGACACAGAGACTAACAATGGGCTTGAACATATCTGATATTATGAGGATGCTGCAGGATAGGACTAAGTTCAGATTTCTTGTTCAAGGCTTGCTGAGTCATAATTGACATGCTGCCATTTAAAACCCACAATAAGATTTTCCATTATTAAAGTAAGTAAAACATATATCCTCTAAGGCTGAATTCTTTGCTGCATATTCAATTACAAAATACAAGGCCTGTTAATGACATCATAGAACAAAAGAATTTACACTCAAAATAAGGAGTTATAAATTACAAAATATACTTTTAATTAGTATTTCAATTTGTATTTTTCTCACATTTGATGAAAATATATGACCAGATTTATTTGTGTCACATTACTTTCTTTTAACAACATTCAATAAAATTTGAACGAATCTGTTTATGTATCTGGTAGTTATTGTTTCTCATCTATGGCCTGTTTTCTAAGATTACACGTATATCTCCTATTACATTTGAATTTATGATCTATTTACAAATCATTAATATATTTTAGAAAACAGTATTTAAATGAAAGTGACTTACTCTCTGTCCTTCAGGTCCTAGTTGTCCTACTTCTCCAGGGGAACCAATAAAACCCTTAAAAGCAAGCAAATATTTTTTATATTATTTAATCTGAATATTAACTCAATATGTAGTTCTAAATTTCTCTTTCATTGCTACTCATCTAGAACCAATGAAAAGCTACATTCCAGCAGAATTTGGAAGCTGTAACTAACACAAGAGGGGATTGCCTATCCATGCTGTGGACTTGCTGGTAGATCCAAACCATCATAGAAGTATTGCCTTTGGGTTAACAGTGCAATTTATATTTCCATTCCTCATATTGCTCTTCTTCCTGGAGTCACAAATCAATCGCATCAGTTAAAATAAGTTTCTTGTTGCTTTATACCATTGAGTCAAACTGACTCATAACCACATGCCTTTGGGTTGACAGCTTAATTTCTTACCCACTGGCCACCAGAGATTTCCATAAATTTGCTTTTGTTATGTACCACTGAGATGGTAACAGCTGACCATCTAGAAAAGTTTTCAGAGGCTGTAAATTCCATGAGAGTAGATTGTCTGCTCATCTTTCTCCTGCAGAGCAACTAGTGGATTTGAACTGCATGCCTCTGGGGTGGCAGCACAATTCTTTATCATTATGACACTAGAGCTCCCCTAAATAGGGAATGTAATTTGAAGAGATATAGCCAATAAAAATCAGTAAAAGTAATTCATTCACTCACTAAACTTTATAGTGGTAGGGGGAAAAAGTATATACTCTGCTAAACATATGATGGAATAGATGCATCAAAAGAACATAAGAAATATAGACAAGGAAGAGGTTCATTCCAATGTGGAGACAGTTAAAAGACATCGAAGATTGGCAACTAAGTTAGGCTTTAGAATGTATGAAAAATCTTGATAAATAGAGGCTGGAAAAAGGGTCAACTCTGAATCCATTCCGACTGGACAGCAATGAGTAAGTAAGTGGAAAAAAAATAATAATAACTCTCCGAGCAGGACAGTTACAGTAAGCTGATGCATAACTGAGAGTTCAGAGAGTGTCTGTATATAGTAACTGACTGCATTTTATGTATAAAATGCTTTGGACAAAACCTCACAAAGAGTAGAATCTGGTCTGATAAATAAGGAGTATGTTCAAGAACAGTACAAATCCCAAGTATTTTTAAAAAGTTTTTACCTGTTGAAATAACAAGCTGTTCCTTCAATTTCATAGATTAAGTGACAGATTCAGGAGTAGATTAAGATGCACACTAAATTTTAATCTAAAAATTAGGGCTTTATGAGACAACTAGAAGTTACTGACTTTGAAGATTTGTGATACTGTGCTAATGTTTAGCTGTATTTATAAAATATTAATGTTAAGAAGATATTACAAAGAGTAAGCAACGGCTGGAGGAAAACCTGTTAGAAGGCTCTTTCCAACTGTTTCAAGGGTGCAAGGTTGAAGAAATATGTGTCTGGATGGATTCAACAAACCTGTTTTCATTGCCTATTGTTTGGTAGGTCATGAGAGAATTAAGATTTAACTGTGTCCCCCAAATATATGTTGGAATGTACTGCAAATATAATCCTGGGTTTCCTTCTATAACATCAAAAAACAAACATTCTCACCAGCGTCATAATAGACGATAAAGAGATTGATATTGTTAACAGCTTTAGTTTGGTTGGCTCCACAATAACACTCTTGGTACCAGCAGTCAGGAAGTTAAAAGATGAATTGCATTGGGAGAGTTGGCTGTCAGAGACCTCTCCCAAGTACTGAAGAGCAACAGTGTCAGTCTGGAGACTAAGGTGTGCCTGATCCACACAATAGTCTTTGCAACTACTTGCTATGCATCAGAAAACTAGGAAATGACCAGGGATGGTAGAGGGAGAATTGATGTCTTTGAGCTGTGGTGCTGGAGAAGAGCGTTTAATATACCATGGACTGCTAGGAGAATAAACAGTTTTATCCTAGAGAGGGTGAGACCAGGTTGTTCCTTTGATGCAAGGATTCTGAAGCTTTGCTGACACACTTGGACATGTTGCAAGGAGGAACCAGTCCTTGGAGAGGGATGTCATGCTTGGGAGGGTGGAGGAACAGCACAAGAGAGGAAAACCTTCAACAACATGGGTTGATTCAGTGACTGGGGTGATGGTGTAGGTGTGTCAGACAGAGACAATAAGGTTAGTACAGGATAGAGCAGGGTTTATGACTGTTGTAAATAGGGTAGCTATGAGTAGCAGGCAACTCAACAGTGCATAACAATAACAACAAAGCCTGTATTCTAAACCTAATCACTTTGAACTATATAAAAAGCACAGGAGGAAGATGGAGTCTATCTGATGACTAAGTGAGGCTACAAGTTGAGAAAGTTGTTTAAAATTACCTATGTTGTTGTTGAGTACCATGGAGTCAGAACCAACTCATAGATGACATTCCCAAGAGTTTTCAGAAGCTGTAAATCAAAAGGAATGAGATTGTCCATCTTTCTCCTGAGGAGCAGCTGGTGGACTTGAACTGCTTGCCTCTGGGATGGCAGCACAGCTCCTTACAATTAGGCAACCAGAACTCCCTAAGAATTGCCTGTACTAGAGGTTAAAATAGACAAAGAAGGATCTTTCCCTAAATGCCACATCTTAGATTCAGACTTCTAGACTCTTGAACTATGAAGGGGAAAAAATCTGTTTTTTTAAGTCATCCATTTTCTGCATTTATGTTATCTGCTGATAGGTAACTAAAACATGAGATTTTAATGGTGAAAACAAAAATCAGTATCCTCAAGAAAGGTATACATTATTAGGAATAAATTATGTTCAATAAATAAATGTAATTATATACAACAGGAATACAAGATTCAATATGAACTTTGTAGCAGGAAGACAAATTTGCCTAGAAGAAAGTAGACTATTGGTAAAAATCTATGCTGCAATTCCAAAGTTACCCAATTTGAATCCACTAGCTTCTCCATAAGAGAAAGCTAGGCAATCTCCTCCTTTGTGATTTACTGCCTCTGAAAACCTGCTGAGGGTCAGCTATGAGTCAGTTGTGACTTGGTGGCACACAAAAGCAACAGCAGATAAAAAAACCTATGAGATGAGTATTGAAGGAAAGGAGAGAAAAATCACTTGAGGGATGGTAAATATCATTACTTAATCGATATTGTTAGGTGCAGTTCATAAACTGTGACATATTGCATGATACTATAATGATGAAAACTCTGTTCCTGGTATATAAAATACCAGCAGGGTCACCCATGGTGAAAAGTTTCCGAGGAGCTGCCAGACTAAGATAGAAGAGATCAACCTAGTGATCTCTTTCTGGAAATAAAAATGGCCTGTGAACTTTATCCTCATTTAATTCTCACAATTACTTGAAATGTTTCATTAGAAATAATAAAGCACAAAGTCACTGAGAAGAACTTATCTAAAGTCATCAAAACAGGAAAAGAGGAGATGGGGGGCAGGGTAGAATAAGCCTGTCTAACTATAATGCTCATTAATGCTTATACAATTGGCCACTAAACTCTTCTACTTCATAAATCAAGTAAAAGGTCATGTACTTTCTACATAATAGCTTTACTTAACACAAGAGTTGAGAGTGAAAGAGCACAGAACTAAAGCTGAAAATATCTTGATGTTGTTCGGTGCCATAATGTTGAGTGCAAATTATAGAGATCCTATGAATAACAGATCTGAACCCTGTCCTATCTTGTACCATCCTCACAATCTCTGACTCATGTAAGCCCATTGACACAGTCACTGTGTCTATCCATCTGGTCAAGGATCTTACTATCATTTGCTATCCCTCTACCTTCCAACGCATGATGTTCCTCTTCAAGGAACAGCCTCTCCTAGGAACATGCCCAAAGTATGTGAGGTGAAGTTTAATCACCTTTGCCTCGAAGCACTCTGGATTCACCTTCTCCAACACATATCTGTTGATTCTTTTCACAGTCTTTGGGATATTCAGTACTGTTCTCCAACACCACAGTTCAAAAGCATCAATTCTTCTGTCATCCTTACGTCTAGCTCTCAGATACATAGCAAGTGATGGAAAAGATAATGGACTGACTCAGCTGCACCTCAATCCTCAAACTAACATCATTGCTCTCCAATAATTTAGAGAGGTCTCTGAATGCAGATTTCTCCAGTGGAACAAGTCTCCTGATCTCCTGACGGATGGTACCAACTCTACTGATTGTGGATCCAAGCAAGATGAAGATGTTGGCAATTTCAATCTCTTCTCTATCTGTGTAGATGTTGCCTATAGGTCCAATGGTGAGAATACCTGTTTTCCTTATAGATAGGCTATATTTCTCTTACCTCACAAAATGGAAAGCAAAATAAGGAAGAAAATTAAATATTTAAGCATTTTTAAAAATGTATGGAATCACTGTTGTACATTTTGCTTAAATTTGAAGCTTTATTTATTATTTCTGAAAGGCATTTTATGTTAGAATTGTGCTTTGCTGGTAACTGAAAGGTTAGAAGCTTGAGCTAACCCTGAGATTTCTCAGAAGAGCCTGGTGATAAACTTAAAAAAAAAAAAAATCACACATTTACAACCTTATGTAGTACATACCCTAACACATGGCATCACTATTAATTGAATGTGACGGTGCTGCTTAATTTTAAATAATTAAAGGAACGATAAAGGCCTCAGAAGTTTGTATTTGCTTTTACTAATTTTCAGGATTTCAATATGATTTTAATTTGGAGTGTATTATACAAGTTGTTGTTGTTGTTGTTGTGTGCCATTGAGTCTCTTCTGACTCATAACAACCCTATGTACAAGAGCCCTAAACCCTGCTCTATCCTGTGCCAATCTCACTGTCTCTGACACACCTACTTCCATTACCCCAATTACTGAATCGATCCATCTCATCGAGGGTCTTCTTCTTTTGCGCAGTCCCTCCATCAAGGACTGGTCCCTCCTTGCAACATGCTCAAGGTATGTCAGACGAAGCTTCATAATTCTTGCCTCCAAGCAACAGCCTGGTTTCACCCTCTCCAGGATAAAACCTGTTTCTCCTAGCAGTCCAGGTATATCCAACACTCTTCTCCAGCACCACAGCTCAAAGACATCAATCCCTTTTCTATTATCCCTTTTCATTGTCAAGCTCTCTGATGCACAGCATAAAATTGCAAAGACTATGGCCTGGATCAAGCACACCTTAGTCCAGCCTGACGTCATTGCTCTTCAGTACTCTGGAGAAGTCTGTGACAGCTGACTTTCTCAGTGCAACTCATCTCTTGATATTCTAGCTGCTGGTACAAAGAGTGTTGATTGTGAAGCCAAGCAAACTTCAATCTCTTCACAATGCATAATGATGCTGCTAGTTGGCCCAGTGGTGAGAATCTTTGTTTTCTTGATGTTGAGCTTCAATCCATATAGGAGGCTGCAGTCCTTAACCTTATGTAGCAAGCACTTCAGGTCCTACTCAGTTTCAGCAAGCAGGGTTGTGCCATCTGCATAACACAGGTTGTTGATGACTCTTCCACCAATCCTGATGCCACATTCCTCCTCACACAGCCCAGCATCCCGGATTATCTGTTCTGCATACAGATTGAAAAAATATAGAGACAGAATACATCCTTGGTAGACACCCTTCTTGATTTTGAACCATGCAGTGTCTCTGTCCTTTATTCTGATGACTGCCTCTTGACTAAATATAGGTTTCACATAAGCACAATCAAATGTTCTGGGTTTCCCATTTTTCTCAGAGTCAGCCACAGCTTGTGTGATCCACACAGTCAAAAGCCTTTGCATAGTCAATGAAACACAGATAGACATTTCTCAGATACTCTCCGCTTTCTGCCAAGATCCATCTAACATTAGCTATAATACCCCTAGTACCACAGCCTCTTCTGAACACAGCCTGCACATCTGGCAGTTCTCTGTTGATGTGCTGTTCCGGTCGTTTTGGGATAATTTTCAGCAAAATCTTGCTTGCATGTGATGTTAATGATATTGTTGGATAATTTCCGCACTCTGTTGGGTCACCTTTCTTTGGAATGGGAAAAATATAGATCTCTTCCAGTCAGTTAACCAGGTTTCTTGGCGCAACTTAGTGAGCACATCCAGGGCAGCGTCTGTATGTTGAAATATGTTAATTTGTATGTCATCAACTACTGGAGTCTTGATTTTTGTCAATTCTTTCAGAGCATCTTGAACTTCTTTCTTCATCATCACAGGCTCTTGCTCATATGTTGTTTCATGAAATTCTTCTGTGTCAGACAATTCCTTCTGGTATAGTGACTCTGTATACTCTTTTTATCTTCTTTTAATACTTCTTGGGTAATTTAACATTCCGCCCAAAACGTCATTAAGTATTGCCACTTGTGGCTTGAATTTGTTTTTCAATTCCTTCAGCTTAAGAAATTCTGAGCAAGTTTGGCCCTTTTGATTTTCTGACTCTAGCTCTTTGCACATTTCATTATCTTTCTTTATCATACCAAGCTGCCCTTTGAAATTTTCTGTTCATCTCTTTAATTTCCTGATTTCTTCCTTTAGCCTTGGCTTTTCAGCACTCTAATGCAATATTCAGAGTCTCATCTGTCATCCATCTTGGTCTTTTTTTCTTCTTCTTTGCCTTTTTAAAGATCTGTTGCATTCTTCACGGACAATATTCTTCATATCCTCCCACAGCTCATCTTATTATGGAAATTACTTTAGTTTGTGATTTCATTATAACATTTAAGGTTTATATATATTGATTTTTAAATGATATTATAAGCATAATAAAGTATTTCTGACATACAAAACATTATGCTAAATAATGAGAACCAATTAAAAAGAATACAAAATGTACATTATAATTATGGTTTAAATTGTTTTTCTGTCAAATATTCTTCTAGGTGGTATAGCACTGCTCTGTGCATTGCTGTACAGAGGTGACTCGTGGTTGCTGTGATGCTAAACACTATGTATGACACTGATGTGTTAAATGTGATAATAGTTACCCATGGCGGACAGTGTTTGGTGGAGCTTCCCAATTAAAACAAGCTTGGGAGCAGGAGTGGCATCCACTTCTGAAATGGCTTGCCTCCAGAAACTCTATGAACAGTCCTCAGGTGTCTTTCATTCATAGGGTCGCTATGAGTAGTCTACGACTCAACAGCACTTAACAAAAACAACAACATTATAATATGCCTTTCTATTGACACAAAAGGGAAAATAGCTACTGAACAAATGTTAACATCTTTTCAATTTGTACTTGTATTAGAGTTCTCCTGCTACCTGTAAGATCAGCAATGTGAACTAATCATTTTTTCTGCTGGAGTAAAATGGGAAGTCTGACTCAAAAAAGTTTTACGACCTTGAAATCCTACATGGCAGTTCTATTCTGCCCTACACAGATCTCGATGGTATTATGTGTAAGAAAGGATGACGTTTTGCAACATGAAGAAGTATATGCACATCCATGTTCATTGTAGCATTATTTACAGTAGCAAAGAGATTGAAGCCAAATATCCTTCAAAATATGAATGAATAAAAAGGGTATTTTATAGGCACATTATAGAACAGTATGGAATACCAAAAAGAATGAACAAAAAATAAACCTGCATAAAATGGAGGAATCTTGAAGAAATTAAGCTGACTGAAGTCTGCCACTCACAAAAATTTGAATATAGTAGAGTCTAAATTATCAAAGTTAAAGAGAAATTTATACACTGAAAGGTTAATTTGACAATAGTTATTAGTGACAGGAAGGGAACAAGAGATGAGTGTAAAAATAGCAAACAGATAATAGACACATTGAGATGGATGATGGGAGGGGCAGCATAGAAAAATATGATTAACATAATATCAAAGAAAGGGAAGATATGAGAAAGTGCACACAAAAATGCAGTCAATAAAATCAAACACTGTTACATACTTAATCCTGCATTAGAAGCAATGTTGGTGGTTTGTACCATTAAATTAGAACCGATGCATAGCTGGACTCTATAGTGGATTCTGAGAGGCAGTTAATTACACGGGAAGAGACTGCCCATCTTTCTCTCATGGAGCAACTTGTGAATTCAAACCACGTGCCTTCAGGATTGCAGCACAGTGTCTTACCACTAAACAACCAGAGCTCCGTGTATTAGCAATAATTAAAGTTAATCTACAAGTAGATATATGGGCAGATAGACAAGACAGATGTCATCATATGAAAAGGACTATCTCCATGACCACAGATAGGTTTGGCAGATGTTTCTTTTCTACTATTATATGCTGCAAATATGTTGTTTTTATGTGCCATCAAGTCACCTGTGACTCATAGAGACCATATATAAAACAGCTCTAAACCCTGCTCTATTCTGTGCCAATCTTATAAGTTTCTGATGCACCTACCCTCATTAACCCAGTCACTGAATCAATTCATCTCATGGTGGGTCTTCCTCTCCTGCACTGTCCCTCCACCCTCAAAAGCATAACGTCCTTCTCCAATGACTGCCTTGCAACATAACCAGAATATGTCAAATGAAGCTTCAGAACCCTTGACTCCAAGGAGGAGCCTGGTTTAACCCACTCCAGGATGAACCTGTTTGTCCTCTTAGCAGGCTGCAAATATATCCATGTATATATTATAACCCAGCCACCAGAGGCCAAAGTAATGTATATTTCCTAATCATAACCAATCACTGAGAAAATAAGATGGTGGTTCTGAGTATGCAGGATGGTAGTCTGGAGAACATCAAGGTCGATTGGCATAAAAGTCTACTAAGACAATGTTCTGCATCCTACTCTGGTGAGTAATAACTGGACTTAAAAGTCTACAAGCAAATATCTAAGGTGTAACTATTGTTTTCTTCCTATCAAAGAAGAACTGACAACAACAACAAAACAACCAACCAAACAAACAAAAATAAAACCCCTCTCCCCCCAAAAAACCGGAAAAGGTATATAGAAAAAAATGTTAGTCTATAGGACTAATAGACTACATGAACCTCAACTTCTACAGCCCTGACAGTAGAAAAATTAGATAGTGCCTGGGTACTACTGCTAATGACTCTTAAAAAAAAAAGATACTGTGGATAATTGTTGTTGTTGTTAGGTGCCATCTAGTCTAGTACGACTCATAGTGATCCTATGAACAGCCTGCAGGTCACTGTGTTAATCCATCTGTTTGACAATCTTTCTTTCTTTCACTGACCCTCCAACTTTCCATTCTTGATGTCTTTCTCCAAACAATAGCCTCTCCTAGCAGCATGCACAAAGTATATGAATTATACCAGATAGAGTAGGAGAAAAATGTTGAACCAAACAAAAAAATATAAAAATGGCCAAGCTTCCTGGTTCTGTAGAGACTGGTAGAACTGTTGAGACCATTTACACTTTAGTTATGCTTTGCCTCTGAAACAAAACTCACCCTTGCAGCCAAACTTTCAGGCAAACAACAGGCCAGTCTAATTGGTGAACAGTTGTACCAAGGAGGCACTTACTCTATAGAACATCTAACCATATAAAGTTAAAAGGGTACTATTTGGCCAAAGGTAAAGCCAAAAGGCAAATAAAGGGTAGGATACAAGGAGTAATGGAAATGAAAAATGTATGGAAGAAGTGAGAAAAGTGGAATTCCACATTACATCACGGATATTATAACTAATGTCTAAAAAAAAAAAATCATGTACGGAGGGTTGACTACGAAGCCAATTCACTCAAATCACAATAAAAAGTATGTTGTTGTTGTTAAGTGAAAACCCCAAAAATAAAACTCTAAATGTAAAAAAAAAAAAGTTTCTAAGAAACTGTGCAACTGATAAACATTTTAGTATATTTCATTCTACTTTCATGCAAATATGCTTAAAAATTATGAAAATGTTTACTTACTCTTATACCTTTAGGCCCTGGATTACCTTCTGGTCCGGCTAAACCCTAGTATAACAAAAAGCACCTTTATCACTAACATCAAGCACACAGATGAACAGGAATAGAATATATTATTTTCACAACTATAAAATGCAAAGATTTCAATATAATTAATAATGCTTACAAATGTTTAGAGAATTATAGAATTACAGAAAGAAAAGCATTGGGTATTAGCTACATAGAAAAATATTTTTGTTATCTAAATAATTCATATTGATACAATTTTTTCTTCATTTTTTCCCTATTGAAGAACTGTGTTCTGTCAAAATTCTTCTAATCAATATACTCTAAAATTTCTTGATTTCCTATAAACTTTAAAGCATAAGTACATATTTTTAACTTCAGGTCAATGCCTATACTGTGTTCTTTAGATGTATAACCACTTTATGCTAAGTTTACTGTTACTATGTACCATCACGTTGGATCCAACTCGAAGATGACCATGCAGTGTATTTTCAGAGGCCACACAAGAGGAGACTGCCCATTGCCCTTGTGTGGAGCAATTGGTAAACTTTAATCCTCTGCTTTGAGTTAGGAGTGTAATTCCTTACCTGCTAGGTCACCATAGCTCCCTACTAAGAGTTTAATAATATAATACACGTTGTTGTTATGTGCCATTGAGTCACCTACAACCCTATGTGCAATAGCTCTTAAGCCTGCCCTGTCCTGAGCCATTCTCACTGACCCTGAAACACCTACTCCTATTACCCTAGTTACTGTGTTAGTCCATCTGATCCAGGATCTTCCTCTCTGGCTCTGTCCCTCTACTCTTCCAAGCACAATGTAGGTTCTCCAAGGACTGGTACCTCCTGGTCACATGGCCAAAGTATGTGAGACAAAGTCTCAAACTCTTTGCCTCCAAGGAAAAACTTGGTTTCACCCTCTTCAAGACAGACCTGTTTGTTCTGAAAGTCCATGGTATGTTCGATACTTTTCTCCAGCACCATAATTTCAAAGGCATTGTTTCTTTTTTTCTCATCCTTAGTCATTGTCCAGATCTCTGATGTATAACAAGTAATTGTAATGACCATTTTCTGGATTGGGCACATTTTAGTCTCTATACTGACATTGCTGCACCTCAGTACTCTGGAGAGGTCCCTGACAGCAGATTTTCCAAGTGCAATTTGTCTTTTGATTTTCTACCTGCTGGTGCCAAAACTGTTGATTGTGGAGTTGAAGAAGCTGAAATTGTTAACCACTCAATTTTCTTCTCCATTTATCATGGTACTGCCAATATAATACATAAGATTGTAATCTATTAATTAGTACCTTAGTGGTGTTAGCACCTTGATGGAACAGTGGTAATAGATAAGGCTGTTAACTCACATGTGAACAGTTTAAATCTACCAGTTGCCCTGTGGAAGAAAGATGGGACATCTTCTCTTATAAAACTCACAGCCCAAGAAACCAAATAGAGGGTCACTGTGAGTTGAAATTTAACCAGATAGCAATGGTTGTTTTTAAAAATAATATATAATATTTTCAGATCTCTTCTATAGCCTAAAAAAGAAATATTGTTAATAAAAGATAATTTCTTGGCATTTATAATTTCCTCGCTAATTTTTTAAAGTTCTAAATATAGTGTTTATAGATGAATAATTAATTTTAGTATAAGTGCATGATATTTATAAAATGTAAGCAAGCCAAAATTTGTCCTATTTTTATTATTAGTCTAAATGATACAGGAAGAGAGAACCAGAAATTGCAGTAAAATAAAACATGGGACTAATAAAATGAATTTTCAAAGGCTTGGAGAAAATTCCACTGGAATTATTTTATATTGTTTTTTTTTAATT